ATTCGGGCAGGCAAGGTGTACGTGCGCGTCCAGTGGTGGTATACCCACATTTTTTATCGAGGGGACGATTTCAGTGTGCTGTATAGTCTACGTAATTCACTAAACACCGCTGCGGTAGGTAAAGGGATACCTCCGCCCATGTGGCCAACGCAGGCGGAGTTCTCATGAAATTATTATTATTTTTTAGTTTGTATTTATTCTTTGTCTTTTTTATTTTTATTTCTTTCATCGACCGTCCGTGTTGATTGTGCATCTACATATATATATATATATATCTACTATATATCTATCAGTATATCCATCTATATACCTATAGTATACCTATATATCTATCCATGTACCTTATATACATATATACATATATACATATATACATATATACATATATACCTATATACATATATACCTATGTACCTATATACCTATATACCTATATACATATACCTATATACCTATATACCTATGTACCTATGTACCTATATACATATACCTATATACCTATATACCTATATACCTATGTACCTATGTACCTATATACATATACCTATATACCTATATACCTATATACCTATGTACCTATGTACCTATGTACCTATATATGCATTTCTTTTTTTGTGCGTTTGTGTTTGTGTTTCCTTTTCTTCATTGCCTTTCTTTGTGTTTCTCGCCATGTATATTTGTTTCTTCTTTCCCTGCTACTCCCTCAACACACAGGTGCAGCTCCCAACACTTATCTGCAGTGATATATATATATATATATATATATATATATCACTGCAGATATCAGTGCATTTGACCCTATTCTTCACTTTGAAAATAGGGTCGCACATGGGTTTAATCTACGTATTTTTTTATGCATTTCTTCTTTATCTCTGCTACTGCGTACATTTACTGTGGTTTATTCTGGGTACAATGCGTTGACGCACCTCATTCTTTTTGTTTTGTTTTGATTTTTTTTTTTGCTGTGCGTGTGTGCGTGACATACGGTTAGTTTTTTGTTTTGCTTTTGTTTGGGCTGCGTGCGTCTCAACTGTGACTGGAAACAAGTGTGCGACCAGAAGGAGGGCTGAGTAGATGCTTAGAACGTTTTTGGTTTTTTTGTTTTTGTTTTTACGGCTTTTTCTAATCTATTTCTTGAGGGCACCGACCGATGTGTTTTGTGCGAGGCCGTATTGAGAGGCGGCGGGCGCAGTTCTGCTGCCCTGTGGAGCGCTGCCTCGCGAGTTTTCAGCGAGCCCGGTCGCTACGAAACGCCTGGATGCATCGATTGCTTTTTTTTCCCCTTTTGTGTGCCGTGAACAAACCCCGTTCGAATTGGAACGGCGGCCACAACGGGCCGAAAGGTGTGGTTTATTTTATCGTATTTTATTTTTTTCTTTGCGTGGGATGAGAGCCCAACGCCCCGCCACGAGGGCACATGATCGACTCCAGTGTTTGCTTTTATTTCTGTTTGTATATTTTTTCTTGTGTTACGGTCCCCGCAGTTCATCGATGATGGCGAGTGTGATCGAATTGTTCATGGCGATGGACGCGTTTCGCTGGCGACACTCTGCAAACGCAGTTCTATCAGCTGGGCGCCGCTTGCTTGGGAAAAGTCCTTTGGGAGGTGAGTTGGCCGCGGCGTATGGAAAGGAGGGACGGCGAGGCACCAGCAGTCGCGTACGCCGTTTTACCAAACACGATTTCCAACTCGGGGTGGACGGCGGTGCCCAGTGAGAGGCCTCAGGGCGGCTGTTTTTTTTTTTTTTTGTGGCCGCAGGAGCAAATGGAGTGCAGATACAATTTGGCGCTGGTGGATTGGCCCTGCAGTCATCGTGCAGAGTGGGTGGCACCTGAGGGAGGGGCCGCCGCACACTTATGCGGCGCTGTCCACTGACGCATTCCCGCGTTGCAGGGTTCTCGAAACAAGCTCCACGGGAGTGAGGGACGGTGCTCCCCGACGCCTTGACTCCTGCACCCCACGTCCCGCGGAATGGGATGCCGCACGTTCTTTTCCGTGCACATTCGCACACTGCGGGGCAGAGAAGATGGTCAACTTGGTCCCACAGGTGGGCTAGACGCCGCCGGCATTGCAGGGGTCGACGAATGAGCACAATGAGCGGCGTTCGGCTCTTGACAGTGGAGGGACACCACGGAGGGAAGAAGGAGCAGGCCGGCGGAGGACAAGGGTGGGCGCCAACGGAAGCGCTAGCGTCGGCGGCGCACCGCAACCCACATGGGGAGGCACCATGCTGAACGCCGCAGCAATACGCTTCACCCCACAGAGACCGTTCCGGCGGTGCAGGCTTGTCGCCGATCCCCCCGCATGCGCCCGATGCTGGAAATTCCCTTTGGCTGCCATCCAGGCGTCACCTCGTCCGGCCCGCGGCGAGAGGCTCTCAGGACGGTTCCCCTACCCCCCCCCCCTCCCCACGTATGTCTGTCTATGCAGCACGGCGGCCGTTAGATTCTCCGCCACATTGGTTCAGCGGCGTTCGGGGCACGGCCTAGCACGGCGGCTAAGCATGCGCCTGAGACAACAGACCAGGAGGAGAGCATTCCAATTTGGCTGGCCCCGCCACACCGCCTGCCGTCACACGGGTTAAGCCACCTGCACGGCGGGCGTCGACTCAGGAAACTGACGGTGCCGATCACTGGGACGGCTCAAGGCGTTCTCCTGACCGCCTCGTCCAGGTTGCGCCGCGCACCACAATGAGAGATAGAGCGTGGTCGACGCGTAACCTCTCAGCTGGCGTACCAGCGAACACTGTCAGCGATGGCACGGCTGTTGCATGTAGACGAGGAAAGAATAGAGGCAAAGGGATATGCACCCGCATTTGCCGCCGCTTCCATTACGACACGCACCGTTGCCAATGCTTCTCGCCGTCGCAGTGGCCACGACGGGCGCTTCTCTTTCAATATGGCGAAGCGCGAAACAGTGCGCTTAACGCCTTGCGACGGCTGACTCCGAATCATTTCAGCGTGCTCGCTGCGGCAGGGGATATGTGGCCATCGCTTTACTGAACTGGCACACGCACACACACGCCCCGCTGTAAATATCCAATGACGAGGCGGGGGATAAATAGCGGTGGGGTATTTGGCTCGCGCACCAGTGCCCACAAGACTTTAATGCTCCCACTGCCGAAGGCGATTTTCTGAGCGGGCAAGTCTCGCCATGCATTTCCGAGCGTCGCGTGGGCACTCACTTCCAGAAGAAAAAAAGACATAATGAACTGATGAGGAAGAAGTGTGTGGGATCGTCCGCCCGCCTGCTAGTGTGTGCGGCACTCCGGCCCCTCAGAGGCCGTTTTGGACTGGATGCGCCGAATCAGACAGAGCGGATCACGGGGCCCAGCAGGCCGCATTTCTTTGCGAGCGCTTTCAGCTTCCTCAACCAATGAAGCCTGTGCCGAACGCAGCCCGCGATGAAGCTTCCGACGCAGCGAGCGCTGACGAGGATTAGGGCCCCACTTTCTCCGCCAGTTTCTTATTATTTTATGGGCCCTCTTTTTAGCTCCAGCTTTGATTGCATCCACCACGCGCATTTAAGCCGACGAGAATGAGTGCCTGCAGAGGAACTGCGTCGAATTGACGTCAGCGGCCGGGCCAGTGCGCACGGGCCTGTCAGCAGAGCAGCGCGGCGAAGCAGATGACGGGGCGGCAGCTTGTATGGACCTGCCTGAGCGCGCCTTGCCTCGATGCGGAGAGGCGACGGTGGATGACGATGGAGGAGCAGGTGGCGGAGTAAACGTGCACTGTGAAAAAGCAGGCAAAAGCATCTCGTTCGCGCCGGCACGATAGTTGTGTGCCGTCCGCTGTCTGGTGTTTTTTGCAGGTCGCGTGCGTGTTTCCCCGGCATTGCTTGTATGCACCGCCTGTGCCTCTCTGCAGTGCTGGTATCTGCTACGCGCGATGCCGTGTGTGTGTGTGCGGTTCACTGCGACCTGTCCTCCTCCATTTTTTTTTTTGTTTACATGTACACATTTTTTTTAAAGGTTTGTTCTCTACTCTGCGTCGCCTGCGCGCGACTGCAGGTGTGCGAGAGTTAGCGACGCGTGGGGCGGGGCGTTGGGTGTCGCATGTGCCGCTCTCTGGCGCTATACATACGTGGCTCCCACTGTCGCCAGCGGGTCGCCTTTGGTTCGTGTTACACTAGCTAAGGTGCGGCAAAGTTTCACCGTGCTGTGTGTCTCTCCGTTGCGGGGTCGTCGCTGCCGCACGCACGAGAGCTTTTTGTCCGCGTTCTCGGCATCTTCGTCAAGATGCTTTTTTTTTTTCTTGTTTGGTTGTGTCTCCCCGTCTCTCCCTTCATGGAGAGGTATCCGCTCCGCGGCAGTGAAAAAAAAAACACAACGTCTCTTGTTGCGACATCTCCCGACGCGTGCTATTCCTCCACCTGCCGCAGGCCAACTGGCTTCGGCGCACGCAGCTGCAAAGCTCTTCCTTCCACAACAAATTTTTTGGGCTAACGGCGGCCGCACAACTTTGTGCGGGCAAAGCTTATCGAAGACGCCTGCGGCGCAGCACAACGCCCCCAGGTTGTTTTTAGACGTCTTTTCTAGCATGTCTCTGC